CATATGTGTGTTACATACGTTCCAAATACGTCTAACATATGGTACCTTAAAAAGTTATGGTTTACATGTGTATTGTCAATGACATGTTATAAAGAACAAATTTTACGCAATTTAAAGTTGTTTTACATGTTTGTGAGAAGCTATGGTTGAGAGGTTGTATATTACTGATACTGTTACATATATGTACGATAATTGTAGACTGAAATAAATCAATCATATCTTTTCAAATTTTTTAATTTAATTTCATAAGAAAAATAAAATAATTATTTTTTGGTTGCTGTTATTTAAAACAAATAAAGGTTTTATTGTTGCTCGGGACTATATTTTAGTGACGTTTAAGTTACAGGAAGTTTAAAGTGAATTTGGAAAACTTATCAAGATAATGTTTAACAATCAATAACCTGTTATTCAGGAAACAGAATATTTTGACCATCTTGTTTTAAGTATTAAATCCTTTTTTAAACAAGACTTTAGATCGTAAGTTGCATGAATCTTAATTTTTATAATATATTTTAAAACATGAGTATTTCCTTCTTTTTAAATAACAACACTAATAATTTGATACTTGATTATAAAACACAATCACGTCTGAAGGTTAAAGAGAGTGTGTGCGTTGTTGATATGCATTTTGTTGCGTCTTTGAGGTTTCAGTATATATGATTGTTTACCTAACGTCGATTTCCATGTCTGGCTTCATGTAATCAGTTCACATTAATTTATAATTTAATATTTTTACAGTAAACAACACAAAAAACTTTACATAAAACTTTAAAGTTCTCCAATCTCGTCATGTGTATATAGACACAAAAATTGAACTCGAAATAATCATTTTGAATTCAAGAGCAAATCTAAGTTTAAAAAAAAATAGAAATTCAAGATAATATTGCAAAAATGTTCAAAATAGAGTACATGATTCACCCAAATAGATATCTGTCCATATATAACTGAAAATGTAAAATATACCTTCTAAATTTTTAAGACTCCATTTATTTTTCACGCAATGGGTACGTCACTGGGAAGGAAAAGTTTGACCTAAGCAAGTTACCGATGCATTACATCAACAGTTCCTTTGTTATTACTTTATGATTTGTTACATGTACACTCAAATTTGAGTATTATTCCAGTGATTTGCACAATGAAGATTAAGGGTACCAAGTAAGCAGTGACGATGTAAACTATTTTTGTCAGCTCCCACCTGGTGTTTCAACAAGTCATATACAGTAAAACTCAGTTATAGCTTGGGACCTGTAAATCGCTATATCCGTAATTCGTTATATCCTTATAACAAATTTGAATATCCATTATAGCAAATTCTCAATATACATGTTTTCTTTAAAGTATAACTATAAATATGTTAGGGATGCAATTATTACAAAACATATTTTTGATAACTAAGATGTTTTTATGAATTGAATTTTATATACAAATGCTAAAAGGAAATAAAGTCAGTTCAATTTATCAATTTTATAATCTTTGAAAGTTCGTTATAAAAGATGTAAATTTTATTATATTTAACCTCAACGGGACTTCGTTATATCCTTAAATTCGTTATATCCGAGTTCGTTATGACCGTAAAGTTTGATAAGGATTTAAGAATTTTGCCGGGGACCAAGGAAATCTTCACTTTATCCGTGAATTCGCTATGTCCGTGTTCGTACTAAACGAGTTTTACTGTAATAACAAAATGCAGATTGGGTTTAAAACATGCACTTATAGCAAGTATTTATTTTTTAGCCTAACAAATTAAAAAATGAAAAAAAGTAAACATAAAATACACCATGTTTTTCTTTAAGGTACATGTAAAGGAAATCATTTTAAAAATACTTATAGGGGATATTTCTAAACATCTTAAGGAAACAAAGGATGTATGATCACATAACTCAGTTTAATTACGTCATAATCTCTGATTAAAAAAATGCACAAAACAAGATTGAAACTACAGTATTTGTAAACAAGTTTGACTGTTTGTTTGAGTTAACCCTCTTGTATTAAAATATCTAAAGGTTTTCAAACTTTATTGAAAATATTACCAAATTACGGAATAGATTGATCCACTCTTCTGTTTCCCAACACTGCGCGTCCAACGAGTCCAACGAGAATATTTTAACACGATTGTTGACGAAAATATTTTGTACTTACATGTATGTCTTATTCGCATTTTTTTGCAAATGTGTAACGTCATAGTTGGATTTTCCCGTATCGAAAAATGTTAAAATGACACGTTTTTCTCTTCATTCTTGTTTAACTATGCCCTGTGCAATATTGAGCTCAGCTTCACCAATTGATATATTTACAAAAGGATATGGTGATAACGAACAGTATTTAATCTCAAAGTCCATAAAACAAAACAAAATACGAACAGAGCAGACACGGACCCCCGAAACATCAGAGGTGGGATAAGGTGTCATGGAGGAGTGAACATCCCCTGCTGACCGGTCACATCCGCCGTGTGCTCTTTGTCCAGATCAGGAAATAACGGTAAATACGTCGTCAATTAAGTGTATAAATAATGGGCAAACAATTGGTATGAAAAACGTCAGTCAGCATTTGACTCAATGATAAATTGTATTTTCTGAGATGAGCTTACATTTCGACATAAATTTTCAAGTATTGAATAATAAGAAATTTTCCAAATAAATTTTCTTTTTTGTTTAATCTAAAAAGTATGTAATTTTCTTCCGTCTCCATATTCGGTGGTACAAAAGAATCTTGCTTTTTTCGAATTTTTAACCATATTCGTACTCTGAAATATTTTAAAAGAAACGTTTTTTTTTATCTATGCTGAAAAAATTCAATTATCGACCGAGTAATGGGCCCAGAAACATGGAGAATCAAAACTTCACTTAGACACTATAGGGTTTTGTTTTTGTCACTCAATATCTCAAAAAGAAGTCAGAAACCTATCGAAATATCTGCTTTTAGGTTCGTGGGACATACTAAACAAGAGATACACAGAATATGAAAAAGTTGAGCAACAGGTATTTTTTTTTTCACCTAAAGGTTCTGATGATCTAAACCGTTTAATTAAAAACGTGTTCAAAACAGAATTTTAACATTACTCATTTACTTACCATGTGCTAGATGCACTTAAAAAATACGTTTCAGAACTTCATTTTTCTAACACATCAATAATATTATCGTTGTTACTTTTTATATATTTTTTTAAATGCAAATAGCTCATAGAAAAGAAGAGGATATTGTTTTAGCTTTATCATGCCCTAAAAATTAATTGTTTTCAAAAAGTTTTCAAACTTTCTAAAAAATTTGTCGAGTTTATGACTGTGATAGATCAGAAAAGAATACGCCTTAAAGGAGGACCATTCAGGACAAGTCATTCTTTTGATGCAATTCTCTACTTTCAACAGAAAAAAAAGTTTGAAAATGACCCATTTTAAGGGTAACTTTCCTGCAGAAAATAGTGTCCAAAGCCGTCGCCCACTTTACTTTTTGGATATGTTTTGTAAAATGTAATGAAAAATCACATATCTTTTTGGGCGATGCCTGTGTGCAATATTATCTGAAAGAAAATTCTAATGAAAATCGGTGTCTTCTGCAATTTTTAAATAAAATAGGGGATAATGCACCTGTTTATGACGTAACAATTAGCATTTATACATTTTTGTGAGAAAAATAATTTGTATGCTTTTTCTGCACTGAATTTAAATGATTCAGAAAGGATGAGTTTTCATCCTTTACTTCAAGTTCATTTTTAAAGAAAATAACAGGGTATTGATTTATATCTATATATACATGTATATCTTGTTCTTATCTATTCATTTTATTTGCTCCAGTTTTATTTTAAACCTTTAAACTTTCTATTCTGGTTAAGGAGACACAGGGCACATGCCAAATGACTAAAAAGACAGATTATGTCAAAGTCAATGCTGATGTACTTGTTAAATGTTGTTAAAATCAACTACGTTACAGTTCTTGTGTAATTTTATTCTGAAATTGCTTTTTAAAACATTTAATTTTAGAAATTAAATTTTAGTTTTTTAAAGATCTTGCCAACATTGGGATATTGTGAAATTGCCAAATCCACAGAATTGTTTTTCATTACCATGCAGTATGACGTCAGTGACGTCATAGACGTAGGGTTTGAATTCTCGAAACGGCGTTATCAAGTACTCATTATCTACATCCGTCATGATGTTTCATTTTATGATTAACAGGTCACAGTCAATGTATCGTGATACATTTCTGAACCAGATTTTTTAAATTAATATTTTTTCGCGTTAGTAGCAGAGATTCTTTCTATTTATATAATTAAGAATGTTTATATTTTTGTTTGACGTTACAACTGAATTCCCGCACTCGAAAAATGCAAACATGAAGCGTTTTTACATCACGGGATTTAGATATTTATTGAAGTATATATGTACCTTGAAAAGGTAAAATATTTTAGTTCTTTGTCTCAATATTTACAACAAAAACAGTTTATTATATTATATTTATATTATGTAATATATATTGAGCATAAATGTGACTGAACAACCCTTATTTTGTATTTTATTGTTTCGTTTGTATAAAGGTATGTCAAAGAAAGACACTCATCAAAAGCATTTCAATCAAGTTGAGTGTACATTACTAGCTAGTAAACAATATGTGATTATGTACAAAAGTACATTTAATGTTAACAATTTACAAAATGTACATGTGTGTACTTGACGTGTACTTTTCTGATGATAAACGTGTTATCATTTTCTGCACTAAAAATAAATAACTATAGGATAAAACAAATAAAATGAACTTTGACAATTTTACAGGGTCGACTTTTTATACATATTGTACCCAGTTTTGCCTACTTATACCCTACGTCAATTATTTAGCTAGATGGAACCTTTGAAAAAATGAATAAAGGGAAGGAAGTAGAAAAAATTCCCTACTTGTAATGAGCATCCAAAAAATATATACAACATAATATTTCAATTATCCACGTGGTACTTGCGCATGTATAAAAATGCATTTTAGTAGAAATACATCTGACTGATGACCTGAACTGGGAATAAAAGGAAGCGGAATCAATTGCAATGAACTCTTCAACTGGCCAGATTATTATTTCTAAAAGAATGCTCTTTTCAGTCATAGGTCTCCTTGTGATGCTTTATTGTACAATGTCGCAACCTTTATATTCGAGTTCAATGGATAATATTCAGATTATCCAGGATTTACGTACCTTTCAATCTAACATGGAAGCACGGATCACAAAGATGATACGAGGTTTGTATAAATATTTATAATTATTATTACTTTCATTCTTATCATTTTAGAAAAGCTTTTTAATAATGAAACTATTTGTTACAAATCGTAAACTAAAATTAGATAAATTCTTATCTTGATAATCAATAAGGAATTAAAATATTAAATTTTTCAAAACAAGATTTCAGAAAAATAATATATGACAACATTTTAATCATATGTTACTTGCAAGTAGCCTGACTTGAGACTTCAGTATAACTTATTATAACTTTTCACGCTATTTAGTTGATATCTTCTTGAAACCTTTTAATTATTTTCTAGAGCAAAATTCCAGCCTTCTACAAATAGAAAAAGAGTTGCAAAGTGACCTCGCAAATCTGGAAAACAGAGTAAAGAATATAACAAGTGGTAAATATTCTGTTTATTATTTCTACAGATTTTTCTATTTACCTTAAAATACTAGATCGGGAGTCCCAGGTTTGATACTCGTTCGCAGCGCCGCGATTCGCAGCTATCCACTGGCAATTAGCAGCGTCTATGAGTGAAAATTCTTTAGATGGCGTTAAACAATATGCAATCACTCAATTTGTGTTCGAATTGACATTGTGATTGTTAATTTTAATATCATTGCTAGGTAAATTTCTTTAAACTATAAATATTTGAATTAACAGAGAGTAAATGTTATTTCAACATACAAAACTACTTTTAGTAGATTTTGATTAAGGGGTGTGCGATAAAAAAATATTGGTTCTATAATAACCAACTCCATGTATAAATTATTTCAAAGGTTTTAAAAAGAAATTTTAAATATTAAATTGCAATTTCGCGCATAAAAAGTCTAAGAAAAAATGTTATTTGTGTGTATCTAATTCAAAAATGTTTCCATTTCCATTGGTTTTCTCTGAGACCAGTCTTTGACTTCTTGATTTTGTTGATCAATCTACCGGATTTCAAATTTCTCTAAGAAATATGCAAGAAGCTAAGGAGGCCTTATATATAAATATATGGAGATAAAAAAATATTCAGGCCCAAAAGTCAAATTAGCAATACAAAATAAGAACAAAAAATATGGATCTCAAAATCATCAGAGGTGGGATCAGGTGCCGTAATTGAGTTAGCATCCTGTGAAGACCATTTACACCAGCCGTGAACGTTCATATCGTGTTAATGTATCATCTTTGACATTAATAGATGGGGACTATTGAAATTGACATAGGATTAATAAATAGACTTAATAAAATAGTTAAAAGTTAGCAAGGCCGTTGGAAGGGTTAAATCACGATTGCTGATCTTATATTGTAACAAGAGGCCCTCGGGCCTTATAGGTCAGCTTATAGGTCACCTGATAATCACAACTTTCCAGCGATCATATTTGGTTTGTGTTTTAATCCAAAAGCCACGAAATTCACAAATTTTGAAGGAGGCACCATTGCTTATCAAGTGGCAGATTTCAAAGCATTAATTTATTTTTAGTCAAAGTACCCCCCTGGTACCCCTGACCCAGCAGCCCTGAAATTATCTATTTTGAAAGAGGCCCCTTTCTTTAGTCATGAACATGAGAATAAAAAAGTCCGGGCACTCCCGAAGGAGAAGGAAATATTTTTTTTTTGATAAATCAACTATTAACATTGGTACATTCTTTTTTATGCTATCCTAATAGGCTCCTTACCACTGGACACATAATGCTTACAAATAGGAAAGTAGAACATTTAATTGCTTATTTCATCATCTGCCAGTTTGGGCCAGTTAAATAAATTTTGTGATGTTGATCAAAATATATTCAAATATATCTTCATTTTTTAGTATGTGTTATGTGAATGTGTAGACATTGTTCTAAAATTTACTTGATGCCTAAAATTATAATTCCTATCATAAAACAGACAGGGAGTATTGGGTAGTAGGGTCAACATTTTTTCAATTAAGTGTAAAATAATTTTTTTCTGGCTGATACAAATGATACTACATGCCTGTATATATTTGTATATTCTTGCCCTTTAATAGTTGAATTTTTTTTTATTTCTTCAGGTTATTATTTCTTCCTCTAATTTGAATTCACTTTTTCCATTGTTTTATTCATTACATCTGATGCATAAGCAACCCTTTTCTGAGGAATGATGCTTAGACTGTAAGCTATACCAGAGACCTAAACAATGTCCCTGGCAATATGCAATAGCTACCAAGGGCAGTTAAAAACCTGGGGGAGGAAAAAAAAAATTACAGTTACTTTTGAAACGAATGCATAATTATCTCACCAGCATGTCATTGTGCAACAAAGTCGTCAGCATTTTATTTCTCTTTTGAACGGGCAAAACGTTTTGAATGGCACTCTTATCGATGAATTTTACACTAAACCAAGCTATCTTCTCAGACCCGCCGTTTCATCCTAAAACCGGAAGTGCGAGTTCGTAAATTTGAAATCTCGATCCCGACTCAAATTTGACATCGGAAAGAAAAAAATGTTTTATTTTTCTGAAAATTCAAAACCTTGAGCGGAGGGTTTGAAAAACTAAAAATAAAATAAATCCTGGCCTTAAATATGTAATTAGATCATTAGCATATTAACCAGGGGCAAAGGATATGATGTTCAAAGAATTCATGCATTTCCCTATATAATCATTAGAGCCCCACCCTAAAACAAGAACCCCTGACCCTGGGGCCATAAAATTCACAATTTTGGTAGAGGCACTCTTGCTTATCATAACTATGTACTTAATTTGTTTATTTAATACCCAGGAGCAGAGAAGAAGATTTTCAAAGAATTCATGTATTTTCACTATATAATCAACAGAGCCCCACCCTAACACCAGAACCCCTGACCCTGGGGCCATAAAATTCACAATTTTGGTAGAGGCACTCTTGCTCATCATAACTATGTACTTAGTTGGTTTATTTAATACCCAGGAGCAGAGAAGAAGATTTTCAAAGAAATAATGCATTTTCACTACCTACTTATTTAGCCCCGAACTAGCACTACAACCCCTGACCCTAGGGTCATGAATTTCACAATTTTGGTAGAGGACTCATTGCTGATTACAATCATGCAAACAGTTTGCCTGCTTGTTGTCCAGGAGTTAAGAAGAAGCTTTTTAAAGATTGCATTAATTTTAGTGGTTTTGGCCCCACCCCTCAAGCCCCAGGGGGGCAGGGATCATGAAATTCACAATTTTTGTTCCCCTTTACCTATAGATGCTTTGTGCCAAATTTGGTTGAAATTGGTTCAGTGGTTGCAGAGAAGAAGCTGAAAATGTTCAAATGTTAACACACGACGAACGACGCACGACGCACGACGACGGACGAAAACGGATAGCAATAGGTCACCTGAGTTTACTCAGGTGACCTAAAAAATGATATGAGGTTAATTGACAACAAGAATTGAACTATCGGAGTACTATAAGCAAAATAAAAGTTAAGTGAAAAAAAATTATTTCAATTACTTGATATTAGTCATATTGAATGAAATATATAGAGAGAGTATTATTGAGAAATTCAAGACGGCATGTGTTTAATGTTCCAATGTTATAAGTTAATTTTAAAGTTCAATGATTTGATTTCCTACAAATACATAGAATGAATTCTTCCCATATTCACAAAAAAAATATTTGTAAGTATGATTGTAAATTTGCTAATGTCCTCATAATCAATTTCATTAAAATAGTATATATAAAATTTATATTTTCCCTGAACTTTTCGAACATCACCCGTCTTTATAACCTTTCCCCCATGAATAGTTTATATTAATTGTATGAATGTCGTGCCTAAACATTTTTTGTCTTCTAGGAATAATCTTTCTTAATCAAATACTAAAGAGAAAGAAAACTGAACTTTCAAAACAGGAACATTACATTTTTTAAAGTTATATATTTCCAGACCAATTAAAAATTAAATTCAACTGTGTCAAAAGCGGTTAAAACAATACATAAAGCATATGATGAATGTATATTGTATATTTCTTTTCTTTTTTGTACCATTTAGATACGTCCGAAAAGTCGTGTCCATCAAATTGGATAAAATTTGGACGTTCTTGTTACAATATCATAGCACAGGCGAAGGCGTGGGACAAGGCAAGTGTACGTATCTACTCTTAAAATTCAAAATTAGTAGTAGTTAGATGAATGTCAAAATTATTTGAAAATGGTGGTCGGTTTTTCCATCGTTCTATAGTTGCGATGACTCTTTTGTATGGAAAAATAACCTACCCAATACGATTTCGTTAATACATTTATAGTGTACTAATTCGGCTACAAAATGTTCTTTATACCTGATCAATGCATGAGATTCACAGTGGGATTGACAAGTTTACAATGTACCTCTACCATCTCATGTACACCTGATACCACCTCTTGGATTTCTGGGGGATCTTTTGTTTTGGGTTTTTGATTCATTCAGTTTTCACCTCATTCACTGTCATTATCAAGGACAGCTGATACAAGCATTCTTTTATGTTGGATAGACTTAATATACATCATATCACAGATGTGGAAAAGTGAAAAATTCTGGATTTTTTTCTCTCGTTTTGTCTATATATTTCAGAGAACAATTTTGGAATGGGACTTTAAACAATATAAAATCCATCAATCAATCAATCCTTAGACTCGGAAAATGAAATAATACAACAAAATTTAATTGATTCTGTAAAGCTAACAGGTTTGATTTGTCAATCATCTTTTTTTTATATAAAGTATCACCTGATATTTTTCAAGTGTCATTTCTTTTATACAAGAAATGTAATATGAGTTAACAACATGTATCAGTTATCCTCTAGAAATATTTTTGAAGAAAAAAAGAGTAAATGAATAAAGATTTAATGATTTTACCATTATTTCACTTTTTGTGTACTTTCTGGTGAAAATATGGAAAATATTTTATTCTCCTATGTAAAGGAAGGGAATTCAGAGAATTATCAACTTTTCTATATCCGTGAGATGATAACAAGTCTCTCTCAAAGAAAGATTGATCGTCTGTCTTTACGTGAACTTTGTAGATTGAGTGTCTACTAGTCGAGATACAATATATTTTCAATCTGATAAGACGTCCCTTCATTGGATACTAAGAACTTTGAACCTTTGACGTTGACCTAGGTGTTTGATTTACTTTAACAAAACATTGACTATAAATTTTCAAGGGTACAGGCTAGTGTTTTCATTATTTACATTCGTCATTACAAGAAATTTAATTTCAATTTGGACTTGGTATCAAGATCTTTGATCTTGTATTTTCACCTACTTTTTAAAATGTGTAATCTTGACCATAACTTTTGAACGATTAGGGCCAGGGCTTTCATACTTCACACGTTAAATCCTTGTGACAGACCTGGCATATTTCATTTTATATTCGTTGGCCTACCAGACCGTCCTTTGGACAAATTGCAAAACTTGATCGTTTTCCTATCTCTTAACCAATCATATTAAGCCATTCTATGACACAAAACTTGTAACACGTGCTTTTGAGGTGTAAACTGAAACCCTGGCTTGCGAGGATTATAGTGATTTATTGTGTACATTGTTTAGAATATGCCTCAATAAAACCATACATAAGATATAAAATATAAATTTTATAACCTACTAATTTAACTGGCTCGGAGAAGTGTCATCTATTCGACCGAAAATCCTTCAAGATTTTATCATCATATTTCGGGCGTGATTCTTGTGCCTTTCCGGCATCGAATATACATATGGATTCCTACGAATCCAAAATTCCAAGATATCAATATTTTCACAATAACTGATCAATTGTACGTATAGATTTGTCCAAAATAATACCGTGTCTGATGAATTTGAAGTGCCTTTCAAGCCATGATTCACCTTGCGTTTTGTCAATATGTACGACGGATGGATTTTGCAATATTGTATTCAAATTTATTCGATTGTCTGTCTCTAATGTAAATATAAGTAAAAAAAATAACAAATAAAAAACCTTACTGGGAATTGCAGTTGATAGGAACGTTATGAGATCTTTCGAGAAGGACTGCGGCATTCACAGAATTTGATCACATTCTCTTATCAATTCCAGTTTTAAAGTTGTTTTTCATTTCTCAAATGATATTTGCAGATAAAGTGTCTACAATATGGTGCAAAACTGGTCGAGATAGAGACAAGAGAAGAGAATTTTTTTTTGAAGCAAAGAATTATCGACTATGATAAATTAAGTATGTATACTGCAATTTTATTTTCCATAGCACTTACAGCATTTCTTGCATTATAATAATATAATAGTTTATCTATCTTACTAGGATTGTACTGGATTGGGGGGACGGATGAAATCAGCGAAGGGAGGTTTGTTTTGGCCTCTACCGGAAGTTCGCTGACATTCACGGACTGGAGCAGAGGAGAACCAAATGATGTCAAAGGCCAGGAAGACTGTATTGAAATCACCACACTTTTCAATAGAACAGGAATATGGAATGATAACAACTGCTCTTCTGAGCTTTATTTCATATGCGAAAGAACGCTTTAATTTTTTCGTAGAAAAGGCTTCTGTAAATGTATACTAGCTTGTCAACAACTAAATACATAAAACTATACGTTATTCGTCAAAATTATTTCAAATTCTAGTTAGAATTCTTCACTCATGTAAAAACGTCACCATGTGCCAATGAAGGGCTTCACATTGTGACCTATGTTGGGTACTCAGGGTCATTAAGCTGTGGAGGATCTTTATTTTGCCAACGCCTGTCGTGACTTGGGGCATTCGTCTTTTAGGTCTAATTTTTCACTTCAAGTCTGAGCGGGCGCTTGGTGAAAGAAGAATTGCTACTTATTTTTTATCGACATAGGCCAGTCGCAGCCGAGATTTGGACTCTTCCAATCACGGAGCGAGTGCTCTTTCGACTGAACTTAAATTGTATCTTAAGTTTACGGTTTTCTTAATTTTGATTTATGATATATATGTAAGACCCCAAGGTGTGATAGTAACGCTTAAGTGCTATGGTCTCGCACACTCCGATGGTCTGCGCCAAAAACCCAAATGGCTCGCTGTTTTTTACGGACGCCAAAGTCAGATGGTCACGACAGGGTCCGATGGCTCGTTTCCTATGAAACACGTGCTAAAGTGCGAAGGTATGATATGCCATGGTCCGATGTTGCGAAGGAACAATAAACGTTTATAACGGCACAATAGTCCAACGCCATGCCATTGTTTTTCATACAAAATCCATTAAATCAGTATTCGTCACGTCTATACAATTTTACTGAGTTTGCTTATTGTTTTTATTCGCTAATAGGCATTAATTAGGATAAGTCCTCGCACACAACTCGACTGATAATGGTAGGTCCTTATACACTATTGGACTAATAATGAGTAATAATCACTCAAGAGATTTTAGAGTTAGGTTACTCCGCGACTGATTTGGATTAGTCCAGCACCCACCCAAGATATTTAGGTTAATTATAGTAACTGAGTATTATTTTTCAACTGTACTTGTTTAGAGGTCGCCCGCGTGGCGCAGTGGTTACAGTGTCTGGCCTAGAGTCGTGAAGTAAGGAGTCAATCCTTACGTCGCGGGTTCGAATACCACTGCGGGACGCGGAGGCCGGTCCTTCGGATGAGACCGTATAAACCAAGGCCCCGTGTCGCAGTAGGTGCTGACACGAAAAAGATCCCTCACTTCTCAAAGGCCCTGTGTGCCGAGCATAGGACAAAATTTGTAGCCCTCCACCGGCAAGTGGTGGCGTCTCCATATGAGTGAAAAATTCTTGAGAGGGACGTTAAAAACATACAATCAATCATTAAACTGTTTAGAGTTCGTCTCGCACATATATCCTAAAGTTGAGGGCAAATCTTTGCAATTAATATTTATTTGTGTTAATTTTAAACAATCACGCCTTGGCACGCCGCGACATAAGGTTTTTGCGCAGAAGTCTTTGACGTCATAAACGTTCGTTGTTTTTTGCACCAATGAATCATCGGTGTTTGGCGCAGACCATCGAACTTCTGCCTGACTTTGGAATCTTATCGAACTTTGGAATCCTACTTATACATACCTTGACAGAAATTGTTCAATTCAATAAAGACTGAAGGTATTCAAAAAGATACTTTTTTATCTTCATTTAGTTTATTCTTATTAACAATTTTGTGAGAGATTTAAATCCTTCATCATCAAATACATCCATTTCAAATTCATAATCTGTCAATCCAGTTTAAAAATAAATGTTTTTTATCTCTGTATATATTTTAAATCCTTGTTAAACCATTTATTTTGTCGGATGGATTGGTCTAAACTATTGTCTTAATTATGTTATACGCCGAATAAAGATCTCATTTATTAAGTAGATCCTCCAACGGTCATAATTGGTTGCACTAGTAATTATAAGTCCATGTTGCGCAAAAACATCATTCAAGTTAGTTTTATAATATAAAATTTTGAAAACCCATACATGCATTGTTGCATTAATTTTTGTTTCTATACGTCAATAATTCTTATTCCTCAACTTTCATTTTAGCGACTGGATTCATTTTCTCTTTTGCATATTTTTGTAGAGAGATGGTTTGAAATTTAATTGTTTTCATTAACAAAAAGTTAATTCAAAATGGAACTTAATCTCTCTATTGTAATCACAGGTATTGATGTTAGTTGGAGAAACATTGTATGTTACAGTCATCAAAGTAATCAAAATACTTTTTGTTATTAATAATGTAACGCGGGTATCCTTTCTCGCTTGTAATTTTTAAATATCAGATGAAGTGTAAAATCTTAGAAAATAAGATATTACGGTACATTTAAGATACGCTGAGTTCTTTTTGTTACCAAACGACCTTGAAACATCACATTAATAATTACACTGTATTAGTTCATATTTTTTTAAAAATGATGTATGCATAGTTGTAATCTTATAAATATCCATGTTATATTATATAGGCTTTGAATCAGGTATTAATGGGTGACCTAATTCTATTTACCTATTGGGCGTGATGGACAGTACTGTTTAAATTTTTCCCTTTGCAGGTATGTTAAGAAAGAATATAAGTCATTTCTAGGGAAATTTTAACTTTTTAAAGAAAATTAAAGTTTGATAATTTACCAAAACGCTGATAAACGTAAACTATTATTAACAATTGCAAACAAGTAAACGTGTGTGGAGTTATTTATACCATTTGGCATCTGATTCAAAATTTTCACACCTACCTGTATAACACAAAATGGTTCGGATTTCGAAGATTTACAGGATATTGTTGATATTTTTAACAAATACTTTACTGAAATATCCTGTAAATTATTAGCAGATATGTCAGTACAAAGTTTTGATTCAGAATTAATAAATAAATTTACAGAAACTAAGCTAGGGAAAGAAAAATGTTTCAGTATAAATCATATAAGTGAGTTCGAAGTATTAAATATGTTGAATACACTTGATGTAAACAAGTCAGCAGGTATAAACTTGATTGGGTCTCGTCTTCTAAAGCTTTCGGCAAATGTTATATGCAAATCTATTACACATCTTATCAATACTAGCATTACTAATGGAATATTTCCATCCCGTTTAAAACAAGCAAAAGTCACTCCTACAGTGCTGCTATCCTATAAGTTGACAATTTTATCCTATCCTATCGTGAATCCTGCATCCACAATCCTATCCTGTGATTTCAGTCTAATCCTATCCTACCCTATCCTGCAACTCTCAGTTTTTTAATATTTAGGAATTAATTTGATAAAACGAAAAAAAAAACGGAATTACCAGAAAAAAAATCAGTTATAGTTATGGAATGCATTTTAATGTTATATATTTTAATGGGGAAAAATAATGGAGATCGACATTCCATAATTCCTGACACGCTGCACAAATTAAATTTACGGTTATCATTACTATTGTCAAAATAAATGTAAACAAACGGATTGTAATAAAACGTGGGCAAGTACTGATTTTGCGAACATATGTAAAGAATTTGGGCATCAAGAAGAAAGAATTAAAAAAAATATAATTAGACAATGTTTTAATTTTCCTACTAACAATGATCGGGAGACATGGCCACAGGATCGGACTTGCTCCCGGTGTGTTATAATTATTTATTTTTTAAAAATAACATAGGCCTATACGGTAATAATGTTTAAGAATATGTTTCATGTAAACTTTTATTTTTTTCTAAACGGAGCACCATAAAAAAACATGAATGTACATGTATAGTCTAACTGTGCCTGTATTACATGTTTTTCTGTATGCGGTTCTAAAAAAAAGAAGATGTGATTACACGGGCCATAAACAAAACGGACATGTCAAAATTTAGATCTAGAATATCTTTACTTTCACATATTAACATTTTAAATGTGGAATTGTCTTAATAAATACAATTTTAAATGTATGATTTTTTTTTAATTTAAATTCATATTTTTTTTATGTGAAGATTTTTCAACCATGCAAAACATATAGTAGCTGAATAAAATTCGAGATATTCGAAATGTTAAAATGTCTTATTTACTTCATTTTCTTCTCAGTTTATGGTCAGTTCAGTGCCGTACAAATATATTTCAATTTCCAATTCAGTTTTTTGGGTAATAATTTAATAATTTATGTTTCATAGAAAATATTCCCTAAATTGTCATTGTCAGATACAGACAAATTGACAACAATAAGTATTGTAGTGAGCTCACACATGTTCCTTAGATCTTATTAAACATGCATAAGAAATTAGGAATTCACAGTATTTACAGTATTTATAATTCATTCTTTAGTAAGTCAAGTTTGTTTTGACCTTGGCATTTGATCTTTAATGTTAATCAGTGTCTGATTGAGGGATATTAAAATGCTTCACACGTGTTTCCTAGATCATACAAAACATGAATAAGAATTCACAGTATTTACAACATTTATAACACATTCTTGAGTAAACCTTGTATTTGACCTTGGCATTTGATCTTAAATTTTTCAGTGTTTAAATGAGAAAAAAATACTTGATCAACTTCACAAAATTTTTATTCAGGTGATTCTTCAACAATGTTTAACAATTGAATATTCCATTACCATGAGACAAATTCATTAAAAGTTCCATGTACAGAATTCACGAATGCAACCAGGTAAGCAAGATCAGCGAAACAGCTTAGCGCAATTTGACGTCATTTTAATTGTGACGTTATTAGGTTCAATAGTGACAGCAGTCAAGGGTATTGTGACGTGCCTGATTCGACACTGCGTTAGAACGTATGCGCAGATCAAGTAGATCGGGCTTCGTTAAATCCTTTCAAAAATATTACTGTGTTCTGAAATGAAGGTTATGAATGTACATGTACTTTGAAAATTTAGAAAATAATTTATGTTTGAAAACTACTCCATTTGGGTTCTAATAAAACTATCTTATTGACAGGTAGATTAGTATGTTAATTAAACAATAAGGACTTAAGAAATGAATTTAATAAATTTTTTCCTTTGATCGAAGTATCAAAGAAAAAAAATTGGACGGAAAACGTCATTAACGCGCGTAGCGCATTGATGAATACATTTTCGGTTCAAATTTTTGTCTTTAATACTTCGATCAAAGGAAACAAATTTTACATTCATTTCTTAATATTTAATTATGATTCTGAATTAATAAAATGAAACTTTCTTTCACTTTACTATAAAATTTACTCATCAAAATCAGTGGTTATGACTATATCACTACAATATGAAATTCAAAATGGCTAGGCCTAACTTGTAGGCCTAACGAAAAAAAAAGTTCTCAAACATTGTCGTGTCATAACCAACCTTCTAAAGTTATAATTAACAGTTCTTTAACACAAAAAATGACCTGTTATGTTGTATGTTTATTTTATTTTGTTATATCCCAATGGATATATTTTCCTCGGTAAGTTCGTAAATAATAAGGGAAGCTACTCAAAAATCCTTACAGAACTCTAACGTTAGATCACAGAAATTTTGTATTTCATTTGTGCTCATTTTCATCTGAATTTCAAACCGAACATATAAATACATATCACAATCTGCCAATGCTGTAAAATCTGATAAAAGTCTGTTGCCGACTGTTTAAGATTAGGCTTAAAAAATATTCCGTCCTCATCCATGCGGTGTCGTTTTTCTCGATCATTCGTTTCCTAAGAATTAACACATTAACGGCATTTACAAGCTTTGCAAGCAAAAAAAAAAAAAAAAAGAAAAATTCTTCACAGTTATTTTGTTCATACCAGTTATCTCAAAGATATTCATTTAACATAAGTATGCTGATTTCTTTCATTCTTTCCCATAACTGTATTGTTGTCATGCAGTCGATTTTGTTTGTTTAGCAAAAGGGGATAATTCAAAACGAAACGAAAAAAGGAAATACATCAGGAACGTAAAGGTTTCTAAATTTAGACAAGATATCTTTTAAAGAAGGATATGGAAATAATGAACAGTATTCAATCTCAAATTCCATAAAACAATACAAAAAAGAACAAAGCAAACACGGACCTCCGAAACATCAGAGGTGGGATCAGGTGCCACGGAGGAGTGAGCGTCCCCTGCCGACCGGTCACACCCGCCGTGTGCTCGTTTGTATGATCGGGAAATACCGTAAAATCTGTGGTCAATTAAGTGTATAAATAATGGACTAGCAATTGGTATGAAAAACGTCAGTCAGCATTTGACTCAATGATAAATTGTATTTGCTGAATTATTTAATTACTCCTTCAAAAAAAATCTGGAAACGGGAAATATACAGTAAAGACAGCTGAAGTAGTTCTAGCTGCGTAGTGAAAGCGAACTCTAGATTTTATTGATGCAGTTATCAAAACAATTTTTTATCAAATCAGAATCAAGCATTTTATAGAAATTAAATGATATTATTATAGTCAGTATCAACTTATAATTATCTTCATTAGAATAACCTTGAGAAAAACCCGGCTAGCACAAAACGTTTTCATTACATTGTATTGCGGTTGTAAAGAAGTTATTTAAAAACTTGTTTGACATAATGTTAATTTTTTTTTTGTAATCACAAGAATATTACATTGTCTTAAAATGTTGGAGAAACAGTATCAAAACGTTACAGAAGCAACACAAATCTAAAGTTCATTAAATAACATTTTTTAGGTTGATGTTTTGATCATTTAATTTTAACATGTGTATTGACGGTGTACATGACTGAACATAGGCGTCAGAAGCGGGGGGGGGGGGGGGTATGGTTGCAAATATTGACATAATATAGGCATTGAGAATTTGGACGTAAGTGTAGCCCCTCACTATATTTCAAAATGCAGTTAATTGAAAGATAAGGGAGAAAGTGGTAGTGTTTGAAGAAAAATTTGATACTAAAAAAATATTTATCACCCCCCCCCCCTTCCCTCCACAAACCACACACATACACAAAAGAAATATGATTTTAGCGTATTATGATATGTTTTTCATTTTTTACTTCTTGTCATTTTTTGTAGGTTTATTTTTTTTGTCACGTTCACATAGCCTCCCCCCCACTCTTTCAATATGCTTCTGACGCCAATGATGTATAAGCCTAGTTTGCGTTTCCTTTAATAAATGCGTACTTTGATATACTGTGAACATGTCACAATTGGCTGTGTATTCTTTTTATCGCCTTTGGCGTAAAGAAATTTCCGCTAATTCAAATACAACGCTAAATG